CATTAGAGCATTCCTTCATCAACGGACTATATCAGTACGTGTTTCTGACTCCATATCCGAATCTATCAGTGCCACCCGTGGAATTCCACAAGGGTCCGTACTCGATCCCCGTCTGTTTCTCGCATTCGGAAATGATCTACCGAAAGTGTTAGGTCCAAAAACAATACTGTTTGCAGACGAAGCCAAAATCTGGAATACAGTAACAGAACGCTTCAAGAATCACTTAAAGCAGCTTATCAACGGTCTAAGGAGAACGACATTAAACCCAATGTTTCTAAATGTGAAGTCTTATCCCTGCACTATGGGAGAGGATTCTCGTATTTCCTCGGAAATCAGCGACTACCACATACTTCAAGTGAAAAAGACTGAGGTATTGTTGTTCAAGAGGATTCAGGCTGCTCCATCAACTACCCTAAGGCTTCGTCCGCTGCTGTGAAGATTGCAGGCTTAACTAGATGAGTCTTTCGTCATTTTGAAACATCACTATTCCCACGTTTGCTATCAGCGTACATTCGACCCTATACAGAGTACGCCATCCAAGCTTCTAATCCATGGCTTCAACGTGATCGCAAGATGCTTGAGCGTCCACAAAGGATAGCCACCAAGATGGTCAATGGGTTGCATTTCCTCACCTATGAGAAGAGATTACGAGCACTGGGACTATATTCTGCTCAGTACCGCCGAATTCGGGAAGACTTGATTTTGACGTATCAAATACTGCAGAACCCAAACCATCCATGTCAGCAGCTACTCATGTTATCGAACAATTTACACCTTAGGGGACACCGTTTCAATTTAATGATTCCAAAGTGTCGACTGTAATGCCGGTGCCAATCTTTTGCAGTCAGAGTATGCAGTTCTTGGAACACCCTTCCATTTCACGTCGTTTGTGCACCAATTATTGAATCTTTCAAGCGAAGACTCGATGAAACCTTGGTACACTTCACATTCCTACACCACGAAAAGCAAACGCAAATTCATTGAAGCCTACTTTCTCTATAATCTCCTACCTAGAACTGTATGTAAAACGTTTCAATTGTTTAAATCTCTTGTGGGGACAAAAGAAGCATGAGCTTGTAACTAATTCCCATAATAAAACTGATTTTAATTAAGTAATTCAACGTACGTACAAAGAAATGTCATTGAATGAATAGATCTTCACAAATCACCTGCTTCATTCTCTTCCTCACACATGTCCTGTTTGAACCGCACAATTTCTGATTGGTCTGATAATTTTAGTCTGGGGTTCATTGCCTTTTGGCTGGTGTCCCAGAGGCTTGGATCACCACACATTTGTCAATGGGGCGTTCTGCTGCATGCGAAATGTGCAGATTCATGGGTAATCAATCATTCTTACCGTCCAGAACACCGATAATCGGATAAACAAAACATGATTTTGTATGAGGTATCGATTGATACGTTGCTACCTGGGCCCATAAAANGGGGGGGGGGGGACAAAATAGCGTTGTCTGGAATAGTCGATAACTCAAACTTTTGAATTGTATCTTTCCCATTTGCAGATAACATTTGCGAAGTAATATAAAAGAAAATTGAAACATTTCTATTTAATTTTTCATAATAAATTTCAGTGCATGCTATTTCGATTTATTATTATTATTTGTTCTACTGGACTTTGATACGTTCCGTAAGATGGAACTGGACACGAAAATATTGGTAGAAACATGTGCTCATTGTGCAAAGATGGGTTAGATTCGGGGCACTGGAATAAAGAAAATCAGTAAAACAGTATTATTTATGATGAATACGCACGTTGTAGATGTGAAAAGTAATGCCGGTTTTCTAAATAATGCAGCATTGTCGCAAAGAGATGGTCACCATGATTGTACTCCACGCATATTTGCTGTACATGCAGCTGATAATGATACGTAAAGCTTAGCTAAAATCCACAATTTCAGCACAGACGCTAATTTTCTCCCACCCGGGGGCAGTCAGTGAAGATGAATCAAAAAAGCGCATTCGGGTGATACCCTATGGGGTCAAATCTTATCTTTATCTAATTCGATTCTTCTACGCGGAGTCATCAAATGAGCATGAGACAGACGGAAATCAGTTGAAATCAGATCGCCCACAAAAATGTGATGCTGTTAGCATTTCACGTGCTTGTGGGGTCTCACTTCTTAGTGGTCAGAAATCAGTCCCGATTAGTTTATTTCAAACGCTGTTGGATACGATAAGATGTACTTTGATCTTTTGTTCTTAACTAGTGGCTTTGTTCTGCTAATGCATATCTTTACAGTTTGCTAGATATATACGTATTGATCGAGTCAGGCCTGCGATCGATACGCCTACTGATTCAAGAACAGTTGATGATTGGCGAACTCGTACCATCCGACTGAAGCATGCCATCGCCGAAATCAAAATCACCAAAAGGATCACCGAAAAAGAATGCGAGTAGTAAAAATTCCCCCGGTAAACAGAAAGGTGAGGAGATTATCCCGGTTGAAACTGGCATGCAAACTGATCCAACCACTGTTTGCTACTTGTGTCGACGTCATTTTAAAGACTCGGCAGCTATACAATCTCACATTGTCCTCATGAATCATATGGGTCCGTACAATGCGAACGAACAACACTGCCGTGCGTGCAAATCTATCGTCATGCTCAAAGATGTTGAAGCGCACAAATGTGCTGTCTTGAAAGCGGTCTTTCTGCGATTCATGTCCGGTTCGACCACATTAGATTTTGGACCACCTTATCGCTGTTTGTTCTGTCGCAGTCAACCGTGCAGTTCCCGTGTGGAATTAGCCATACACTTGTTGTGTTATCATCGTCCGAATAAACCGACCGGGCGTTGTGGTATGTGCGTGTTCACGTATGAAGAACCGGCCCCAATTCCACCGCCAAACATACCACCGTTGCCTGCGAATGCAGATGAAGAGAAGAAAAAGGAACATGCGAAAGCGTTGAAGCAAGCCACGGAAAAACAGATGTGTGAACCACCGATTAATCCAACACCTGGATTGGACAATTTGAAGATGCATGTGATGAATGAACATGTGCCAGCTTATACGCTCTGGAGCAGACGAAATATTTTGGAAGACAGCGATTTACGTTTCCCGTACGCCTGTCCCATTTGTAAGTGGGCTTTAAAGACCAACTATGCATTTCATGCACATGTTCTTTGTTGTCATGGCAACCCGACAGAAATCCAAAATGAGTTGAAAGTATGCGCCATGTGTGGCTTTGCCGCAGTCAGTGACCCCGGTT